TCACAGTCAGAGAACTCGCTTATCAGAAGTCGAGCATTGGCACATCGACAATGTTTGGTCAACACCGGACGACTGACATCAATCCAAACATGGGCCCCATTGCGAAGGATACAATCACCCCCAACTTGTTGAGGGCTGACCAAAGGGACTTGAGCTGAGGCGCAACCCCCACCATATAATGCCAACAAGGGAATCAAATCTAATACATTAGCTAACACCTAGCTTGAAGATGAAAGGTATTATCATTTAAAAAAATCATATATCTTTTGTCTCCATAAATTTCAAATGAAGACTTTGGGAACTCGAAGAGGTCATTTGCTTTAGTAGATAGCCAGCACTTAGGGAATTCAAAGAGTTCAAAAGTTGTATGTATAAATGAATATATGTATGTATTGACCAATTTTTCTAATGACCTTTATCAATTATGAATCATATTATAAGACAAATATGCTCCAACACATTGATATCTACGAAACTATACTTATCTACGAAATTATACTTACTATCATAAAAAGAAAGTACAATGTTACATTTATAAACACTAAAGGAAAAATGTTTCAAAATACATACTTACAAAAAAGGTCTAAGATGTGGCTGTCATCTCTTGTTGACATACATCATTGACCATCAAGATGCTCTAATTATAGAGAATGTAAACTCAAAAGTCATGTTTTATAAAGAGCACATTCCAAAAAAACATGATCAAACTTCTATTAAATTGTTATTATATTGAGTCCGATTGTATTAATCAATTCTTTACTCATAATTCTTAATTTTGATGTTCAAATTTGACAGTGAATTTTTTTTTTGTACGTAGCATCTTGGCACTGTACCTGCAACACCCAAGCATTGAGTCAGTGGGACCCGAAAGATAATGCCGCCACACCCAGTGGTTATTATTGTGTTTTGTTTTTAGTGGTTATTATTGAGACTGCTATGTTATGTTTTGTACACCTAATGTGATGTATTTGTGTTTAATGAGTAGTTATTATGTGTGATAGTAATTTTTTTAATTGTGTTGTTTTATTTAGTTAGTGTTTATTGAACTTAATTGTCGAATCTTAAGAAGGTTTAGAATTTAGCTAAGTTGCTACTTAAAGCTGCATATTTAAAATTTCCAATTTACTACCAGTTATTTTTTTATGTTGTAGTCATGTATGATTGTTAGTGTGTTTATTTTCTTTTATGTTATACTCCATTGCATAGAAGTCTAATGAAACTCTGTATTTTAAGTAAAAGAAAATTTGATCAATTAAATTTTTACTCCTGTTTTTTTATTTTTGTACTTGCATATTTAGGATATAAAAATTCCTGCAAGCATGTTATAGTTAGTTTTCATTCCTGATTATTTATATATGATGCTAAAATGATTTATTACTATTAAAAATTTAAGTTTGGGGGGATGAAAAATTTTAAAGAAACTTGAAACTTTATTTGTTCTAAAATGTATTTCAAATAAATTTGATTTTGATTTGAAAATTGATTATGTATATGAAGTTATATTAGGGAAGTAAAATTTTGATTTTAGAAATGAGCAGGAAAATTTAGCTAAAATTCATAGTAACGAAGAAAAACTTGAAGTTAAATTTTTTTTTTTTAGTGTGGAAAATGCTAAGTATTGTGTAACTATCTTTAGTAGAAGAAATTTTATTTTTTAAAAATTTAGAAATTTAGACCTTTTATTTTCAAAATTTAAATTTCTTTTATTGAAATTAATTTTTTAAAACTATTATTATGTTTTTAATTTTTAAAACTAGGTTCAAAGCCTAAGAGCATAACACTTCAATGCTCCATTAAAGCGTCGTAAAGCCACCATCACGACACCTCGATACCAGTAATCAACTTTGTGCATTTTTTTTCACTTATAATTTTTAGTTTTGCCAAAAGAAAGTGTGGGATTCTGATTTTCTGTTGTACAATGAATAGGAAATGAGAGTCCTAGAATATTCCAAAATATGGAGATGTTTGAATGTGGTGTAATTTGTATCATTTTCTTCATAGTGAATTTCTTGGTGAGATATGGATTGGTGATTATTTCCCATTCTCAACATTTTCTCGTTAGTTTTCTGTGTTTTCTTATTTTATGCATTACTGTTCAAAGTACTGCTTCTGATCTCCTGAATCGATTTCCACAATTTACATCTCCCTGAAACAAAATGAAAGCAACGAAACAAAGACTGAGGAAATGGAAATTAATTCTATTATTAGAATCACACTGCAATATATAACGCCAAACTTATTTATAAAATACAGAGAACCATACTAAAGACTAAACTGTTGCTAAGCAAAAGCGAAACTAAACTAGACCGGTCCAACTACAAATGAACCAAACCAAATCACAACAGAGATACATTAACACCCCCAATCTTTTAATGACATAATTTTGAATATTTTCATGGCCTTCTGTAATTGTTAGAGTTTGCTCCCATAAAACAGTAGATTTACAACATAAAAAATTGTCAATATATTTAAAATGAATGGATAAAGATTGTATTACTATTGAGGAGGTTAATAGATTCTATACATTTGCAATAGACAAGGTATAATTTAGTAGGCTATAAATTAAGCGTTGATTGAATGTTATCCCAAATTTTTTATTGTTAGCTCTATTAATTTTATATGATTAAGGGTTTGTTAAATCTATAGTAATTACAACAAGAAAGACTATAGAAAGTACTAGTAGCGCTCCTATTCTACACTTTAAAGTTGTTGTAAGCACTTATCCGATGGATTTGATTCTCTTAATTCACCAAACATCCCATCATGTGGAAGAAGTTTTTGTCCTCTTATGTAATTTCTTAATCATCTTTGATTAGCCAGTCTAATAATTGTTTTTACTATAACATGTAATTATGCTTTCATTAGACGTATTTAAATAAAATAAATTCAAAACAATTCATTGAATATGCACTCATCATAAAATGAAACTCTTATTTATAGATGTTATAATATAATTGTGTATTATATTTTTACCCTTATTTGGAAGGGGTCCGTGCTAGGGTATTTTCAGCACTTAACAAGTGTTGACTTATTGTACAACTGCTTTCCAACTCGGTCAGCTAAGCTTAGTTGATTTCAGGCAGACGGAGTCAACTCAATCGGTTAGGTTTGTTTGGTGTGGTTAGGTCGGTTGATCAAGCTCGGTTGGCTATCTTTAATCCTAGTGATGAGTCTTTAGAGTCTCCATAGAACGGTTGGAAATACTTTCCAAAACCAAATCTTTCTTTGGATAGGCTTTACTAGAGGACAGGTCATCTCAGCAAGCCGATTTTCTAATATTTGGTTCGCTCTTTCGTCTTGTTTTCGGTCTGTGACTTGTGATTGGATCATCTGATCGTCTTCTTGACTGCTTCGTGGCTCGATCGGTTTTGGCCTAGTTGGCTTGGCTTCTATGACTTTGCTCATTCAGTTAGGTGGATCTCACGATCTCCTGTCAGTGAGCTAGGCTCCATCGTACTCTTCTCTTTTGGATCATTAGATCTCTTTAAAATCAATATTGACATTTTTTTTTCATGTACATATTGCTTCATTTTTCTATATGCCCATTTAATGTTACCACTCTTAGATCCCTCTTTCTTATATCTCTTTTTATGTTGTCATTCTTAAACGTGTAAACAATGTCTTTCTAACAATTATTAAGATATTTCTCATGTATCTTTTATACATTTAAATATTTATTTTTTCCGCTCATTTTTACCCTTAATTAATAATTAATTAAATTTAACATTTATTAGATTATTATGATTTAAGCCCTAATTAAATTACAATCATACCAAAATAATATAATAAAGGTAGTGAAAAATATGTAGTATTTCTAAAATGGAGTTCACCCAAAATTTTAATTTAAAATTTAAAAATTGTCCGAGGATTCCAGATTTTAAAAATTAAAAAACTTGATTTAAACCTTTTTTTTAATTATTAAAAAAAATGCATAATTTCAAAATAAAACAAAAAATAATTGTGAATCCAGATGTGATGGAACTACTTTCACATTATTTTAAAGAAAATAATATTCATCACAACATTATTATATTATACTTAAATTATTTAATTTTTTTTTTAATTTTGGCAGATTTAATTTCAATATCAAAATAATGATATAACTTTTTCATATTTGCATTTAAATTTACATGTTTATAATTTTCTGTTATAAAATTATATTCTGGTGCCTTGAGCTTTGCATCGAAGCAAGGTGGACCCTCGGCTGCGTGCAGAGAAATATTTTATTATTTCAATACTTAGGAAAACATGTTTTATTAGTTCTTGCATCACCATTATTTTTCTACATTTAAAAAACCCTAAACCATAGAAACCGAAACAATTTATATTAAAAAAATATTTACCATCATCCCCAATTTTTTAATGAACTTTGCAGGAAACATGCCATTTGTAAAACTCACAATTTTTGTTTTTAGAAAAATAAATTATACATATAATAATAAGGACCAGTCCTTCTAATTGTTTGGTTTGTGCGTTTTTAAAAATGATGACTGTGTTTGAGTTTTTTATATTAAATATAGGATGGTGTTTAGAGGGGAATAAAATAATGGTAGGGAAATAATTTTTGATTTTTTTGTTATGCGGAGTGCCATCAAATTTCCAAGGTTGACCAAACGCCAAGGAAAGTAGAAAACGCTGCCGGCTGGCAAAGGAAAAGAGGAAGCAGAAGACGAACGGCTGAGATTGCTCATCACTTTTAATAAAACAAACAAAACGGATTAATTATTAATCCAATAAAATAATGTTTGGAGGGAGGAAAAGTCCAACTTATAACTGAAGCTTCGCACCAACAGCTCGATGGACGTAGCTCAGTAGCAGAATCGCATCACGAGGAAAAGAACTCAATCACTACCGTCCATCAAATGAACCCCGCCTTTGTGAATTGTGACTTTGACTGAAACCCCTCTATTTATCCTTTTACCCATTTAGTTTTCTTAATTTGTAATTTATTATTATTTTTTTACTTATGTTTTCTTTTCTGCTTTATAAATGCCGGCCCAGTCTCTTCTTTATCTTCTTCCAAGAACTCAAAAAAAGGTTTATGGTGCGGTAGGGCTAGTGGTGCTTCGGAAGCCAGGAGGGAGCGAGCGAGGGTGAGATGGCCGTTGATCTAATCGGCTACGCGAAGATGGAAGATCAGATCACGATCCAGGAGGCGGCAGCCGCCGGAATCCGGAGCATGGAAAACTTAATATTCCACCTCAATCGCCACCATCAGAAATCTATGTCGTCGTCAGCAACAGCGCCTGCCATAGATTGCAGAGAAATTGCAGATCATACCGTCTCGAAGTTCAAGAAGGTGATCTCCATCCTAAATCGTACTGGCCACGCCCGATTCCGTCGCGGTCCTTCCGGACCAGTTCTTCCGTCCGCCGTAACACCGGCGCCGCAGGTAGCGGTTCCCCCGGCGGCGCCGGCGATGGTGCCGCCGGTAGTTCCTTTACAGAGCCTGACGCTGGATTTTACCAAGCCGAGCTCCGTCGGTGGTGGATCTACTGACCTAGCCATCGTCGCGGCATCATCGGGGAAGTACATTAAGGAGAGTTTCAGCATCTCGACACCGATCTCTTCGGCAAACTCATCCTTCATGTCATCGATCACTGGTGACGGAAGTGTCTCTAATGGTCGCCAGGGGGGAACAGCCTCTCTTCTTCTACCTCCAGCCCCGGCCATCTCTGCAGGCGGCATCGTTGTCGGCAAACCGCCGCTCGCAAT